TCCCTCCGGCCTTTTCCAACGCCTTGCCTGCAAGGACACAGAGCAAAAGGCCTTGGCTTCAAAGTATCAGCACGAAAAAACAACTCTACATTATTTAAAAGAGGAACATTATACATATATTATCCTGTTTCCCTCTATCAGCAGCAGCTGATGTTTATGTTCACCACTCTGTCTACCCACAGATAAAGTTCACTTTTGATTGGTTTTGAAAACCCCTGTATATTATTAATGAAAATTACTTTAATACAATTATCTGCAAGAATGCTACCTTGCTCTGACTTATGGCTAAAATAGCGAAGAGTGGGCTTTTCAGGACTCAGATTTCAGCCTCCAAAACTAACTCAACATACAAACTCTATTTCTTTCTGAAATAAACACAGCTGGGATGCCAGTGAAGGTCTTGATGACTGACTGTATAAAACAATGATCCCAAAGCCTGCTACTAGATCCTGTGCCTCTCTGTGTGACTGACTGCATAACTTTTCTACTCCCTCTTGCTTCAATTTCCATATTTGTACACCAGCAGCAATAATATTTCTGTATTTCACATGAGCAGTATAAGGCTTTGTACATGAGTATTTCTAAAGTACGTAAAATCCTACAATGAAAAGCATAATTAGAGGTGTTACTAGCATATAATTTTTGTCACAGAATTTTCAGAGGCAATGTAAAAAATAAGCCAATAGAGACCGCAATAATGATTATTTACACCTTTGCTGCTCATGTGCTTCAACAAATTATCTGTGTTTTGATTGTCGTAAGGCATCATTAAAAAAAAAAGATAAATTAGTGATTAGCCTGTTATACCTAGTCAGATCCAGCCTGATTTTCAGAAGTGTTGTAAGTGATATTTTATGGCCCTGGGAAGACTCAGATGAAACAGGATGGGATCTCAGCAGGCAGCTAGTAGACCAGCTACTGTTCCAACTCTAGATCTGTTTTTTTCTGCGTGTAGCAGAGCCTCACCTATTTCCTCCTTGAGGTCTATTTCAGCAGTTGTAGGGTGAACGATGCCTTCTACTTTCATGGAGCCAATATGGCTGATGTCACTCTGTGTCAGAGAAAGCTGTAAAATAATAATGAGGGAGTAGGAAGAAAAATAAATAGCAATCCGAGTACAAAATCATTTTCATACCAAAAAACTAAAACGAAAGAAGGCTGAAGTCTTTCAGAGATGACTCCAGCCCTAACCATTCTATGATTCTGTGAGTAGTTTTACTGTGTTCAAGACGTGTGATTCTGATTTTTAGCCTTTAATGAATTAATTTGTACACCACCCAGGTTAGTTTGTGACACACCCACGTCTTGGGAGCTTCCTCCAGAGGAAGTTACTGCTAGAAAATTCATGTTCTAGCATCACACTTCAAAGAGAAAAGGCTGACGTGGGAAATGCTTTTGTTTAAAGAGAAAATCCCTAAAATTAAAAAGCTTTTCTCCTGTAGAAACACTTGCCCCCAGTAAACTACTGTAGCAGCTGAGAAGGGTTGAACACTATCCTGATCTATAAGGGCTTCACCCCCCCAGTAAACTACTGTAGCAGCTGAGAAGAAGGGTTGAATGCTATCCTGATCTATAAGAGCTTCACCACCCAAGTAATTAGTTACCTTTTCAGTTCCTTGCATAAATAAAATAAAGAATGCTTTACCCACTCACGTATCTGGACATAGGAAGTGGCCAAAACTTGCTGTCTTAAGGTGCCCAAAAAAGGCTGCTCCCCAGATTTCACAGCCTCGTAGCTTTGAGCAACAGAGCACAGAAACCCTAAAAATGATTAAAAATTCTCTACAGTTGCTGAACATGTGTCCAGCACGCCTCATTTCTTCCAAGATACACTGTAGTATTTAAGTCTTAACCAGAACAACAAGCCCTGCCCGTTTTATAGAAGGAAGTGAGAAGCTGCACAGATTCTGCAGAAACTTAGGACAAGACTGAACTTGAATAAAGGAGATTAAAGTTTCATCCACTCAGCCAGATTACAGCTTTTAGCCATCTTTTGGATCTATTACGTGTCTGGCACACTGTAGATCACTGCTTTAGGAAGAGGTAGGATCAGACAGATTGAACTTATTAAGTGCTGCTTCATACAACAGGGTACACCATCAGTACAGGGGGCTTACAGAAGCAATTTCGGGAAGAACACTTTTTCCAGATGACCTTACTGTTTGAAAGAATAAAAAAAAAGAATAAAAAAATCTTGACTGTATCTCCATAGATAAAACTGTAAGAAAAACTCCAACTTCATACAAAGGGTCCAAAAATTAAGGCAGGCAAAAAAACTCTTCCTCTTGGTGAGTACAGGAAAAAAAAAAAGAAAAAAAAAGCATAGGGCCAACAGTAGGCTGGACACCAAGGACATGAAGGTATTTTGGTGGGACAGTTCTGTAATTCTGGCCAGGCAAGGTGTCACAGTTTGTGCTGAGATGGAGAGGTCAGCATGCTCTGCAGCTCTGGTGAGGTCCTCAATTCGAGCAGTGAGAGCAGTGTCACACGGCCCACTTTTGGACGGAGCACCCAGGCTTCTGGCACAAACCAACATGTGGAAGTTGCTGGGTGATCCTGCGACCTGGCGCAGAAATACTCTTTTATAAATAATAAATAGCCTAGAAGGTTAAACCTGGTTTGGCAGTATGCCAGGCACAACACAGCCAAGTCCAAACTGAACAAAACTCTGACATAGCTTAGGCCAAGAAATGAATCAGTACGGCTCTCTCTAGAGGAGACAGGCTGACCAGCATTACCCTTGGAAATCTTTTATCTGCAGACCTGTTTGTAGAGACCATTTACCCTGTCCATGCCTTGAGTGAGTTTTGGCCTTAAATCTGGAACCACTAAGGGAGAATGTAGAGATGATTGTTAGATCAAAAGCATCCTGCCATTTATGGTAGGTTCCATTGCTGCGATCCCAATGTGTTGTAACTTTGTATTACCTTTTGTCCTGGCACGAGGCTTTTGGAGGACAAGATAGTGAAACCATCCCCAGGTCCATCTTCAGATGTTGAATTTGAAGTTCCTTCTTTGTCACTGTCCTTTTGTTTGTTCTATTTGGGGGGAGAAAAAAGCAACAACTCTCAAAGGAAAAAAAAAATAAAATCAACATTTACAATTATTCGGTAATGGATAGATTGAGTCAGTTACTACAAACCTCATCTTCTCGGATCAATATATTACTCATAGCCTTTTAATCTCCAAAGATTATGTAACAACAGAGGTCTTCACTGTTTATATAATGCTAAGCATCAGAGGTTCATCTGAGGCATTACATACGTTTGTAGTCACATTAAGAGTTGGGGCACCCACATCCATCTGTAGTTTTACTAACAATTACAGTTGTATTTATGAGTGGGTGTGTGCTAGTTTATTTTTGCTGCTAACAGAACAGAGCTCATACTAAATCAAACTTAGTAACTTAGTAACCCAGTCAAATGCTCCAATCTGAAGGAAAAACTTCTTTATAATCTGAAAAAAATCTTAAGTCTCAGCTAATAAATCACACAGCTGAATCCATATTGACATGAGTGAGCCATCACACCTCCATACAAGCAGTCAGAATGACAAAATGGAATAAATAATAGCTGAAGCTTGAAGGGACATACTCCTTTATGTAGCCTAGCTCCAGGAGCAGGAAATCTGTTTCTGCCAGGGCTGCAGGAGCATGTCTTCACATCTCTGAATATTTGATTTAAGGTATGTCAAGAAACTAACTAACTCTTCCAAACTCTGCACGTGCACAATTCAAAGTAAAGTGGTAGCTGAGATCAATACACAGAGGCATCCTATTAAGCAACTCCATTTTCTTTTAAAAAGTTGGTTTTGCATATTCTCAGCTAACGAAATGTCTTAAAGCTTAGAGGCCTCCAGAAAGATGTGCTTAACACAAGTGTAAAAAGCTTAGGTAAAAGCTTAGTATCATTTAATCCTACCCAATCAAAAATGTAGGAGTGTTTTAAGATGCAGGCTCTGGAATTACAAACCAAGAGCACTGATCTGGGTTACTGCTTTATGAACTTAAACCATTTTGGATGGTGACAGAGGATGGGTAACTGTAAGGGAAGGTGCAGTGGTAAGTTCTGATTCATTTATTCTTCTCACCACTTTTTTAAAAACCATTAAAAACAGCACACCTAAAACCACACGAAACAAAGAGCTTGTCAAGATGACATCTACGTACCATGTCAGGACAAGTTCTCTGGACAGTGAAAAGTCTTATAACGGCAACCTGGTAACTGTACGAGGCTGAAGGCATGACACCTCTCAAGTAGGAAAGGTTTTAAAATACAGCTTCCTTTGTTTTAAAAGCCAGAGTTCACTGCCACACACCTAGTGTGGACATAAAGAGATACTACACAGTTATCAAGAAAGTGTTGCAAAGGGTGACATGGAAATCTGAAAAGTTTCCCTCAAAGCTTTAAAGGTTTTTTGTTATGGAAATTCATTAAAAAAATACCGTGTTTGCCTTTATTTCTGAAGTTTAAAGAAAAAAATCCTAGTGTGTCTATTATCAACTCCTACCTTTCATTTCCAGTTGCTACAAACAAATAATGCAGAAGAGCTAATTTATTCCTCCTAATAATCTTAGCTGGTTTTGATCCACTCCCTCTCCCACACCTCTGGAATCCTGTATCTGCCTCACACTTACCTTTTTGGGTGTCCGGGCCTTGGTAGACTTTGCCTTCTTCCCACTCTTTTTGTTCACCATGGATTTCCTTCCCTTCTTCTCAGGAGTAGGGGAAAGGATGGTCTCAGATTTGCCTTTGGCACCCCGTTTCTTGGCTAGAAGCTCTGGCTGAATTCTGGGCAGGACACCTCCACTTGCAATAGTCACACCTTTTAGCAACTGCAAGGAGAAGCAGTGTAAAGGAGCACGTTAGAGATTCTCTTATCTGCTCTCAAGCTGGTTTTGCTGACCACGTTACACACATGCAAGGAGAGTCCACACTTCCTAAAGCATTGCACCCTGTCCTCTTATGAAAAAAAAAAACCACTAACCAAAAACCCCAAAGAACTACTAGGGGGAATATCCACAGTAACAAAAAACCTGGCAGGTGATGGTGAGGTCAGCCAGAACACCCCAGAGAACTCTTGTTACTGTGCTAGTTAATCACTCTTCTCTCTTCCAGTGCTGGTCTTTTTCCATACCTGTCCTTGGTGACTCACAAGCAGCGAACGAGGGTAAGAAAAGACGATAAGTGCCTGCAGACTACTTAAAAAAAAAAGATTGCACCACAGCCCCGCTCAAAGGACGGGTTGCAGATCCCTTTGGCAGCGAAACAGATTCAGTGAAACCAAGTATGAGCCCCAAGAACCTGCTGTGCAGAGGTGAGCAACAGGAACGGGCTGTGATACTACATGGAGGACAGAGTCTGGCTGATTCCTAACAGACAACACTAGACCTGGTGCCAGTCAGTGACCAGCACCACGGAACAGGGAATGGGCTGGTAGTGTTAGCATGATTTTCCCTCTGTCCTGGCCTCTGTTTCGACTTTTCAGTGCCTTTGACAGGAAACAGAGCTAGATGACTTCATAGGCACCACGTTTTCATTATTTAAAGCAGTCAAATAAACTGCAGGAATCTTTCAAAGTGTGAATGATGTCATCCATCTTCGAATGGGGCCAACCAAGAAGAGATCCTCTGATGCTGGCTGAACCTTTCTGGCACCCCTGAATGCTGCAATTCACAGCCCATGCCACGATCTCTCTTCTCACTCAACAAGTTCAGCAGAAGTGATCCCACAAATGATCCTCAGAGTCAGAGCACTGCAAACCACAGTCTGGGTGCTAATGGGACCTGAGCATAGGAACAGGGAGGCAGTCCTGGAGGCAGGAATAGAAGAGAGTGAGCCAGATCCCTACCCAAGATGGGCCTCACAGACAGTATAATAGAAAATACACATTTCTACAACTTTTGGGAAAAGGTCTTCTATATGGCACATTTTCTGTAAGTACTGGATGTCCCTAAGGAAAGAAATTAAGCATTAAGTTTACCCTCCAACAGGACTCACAGGCAACAAAATTTATATCCAGAGGGTTTAAGATGAGATATCTTAGAACCTTCTTTTTTGTTCGCTTTTATTCAAGTGGGCACAATCTTGTCGTCCTCTGCTCTGATTATTGCATTCTCATTCGCATGTCAGACTAAGCTGTTTCTGACCTTCCGTGGTAGCAGCTTCGTTCGTGCCACGGCGCGTAACTCTCACACCGAAAAGTAAACGGGTACCTGATTCAGTTCCTCATCGTTTGCAACTGCCAGGAGGATGTGTCTGGGGGCAATTCTTCCTTTCTTGTTGTCTCGTGCTGCATTTCCCGCTAATTCTAGAATTTCAGCTGCAAACACATGGAGATGAAAATGACTAACAAAAACGCAGCATAGGTACACATCGTATACCCAGTTTACATTCCTTCTTAATATCTGTTTACCTTTTCAGGGGCGTTTCCTGATTTAAATGCTCTTTGCTACAGAAAGACCCAAACCACAGTCAATGTATTTGTAAATTTACGTAAAATAACTTGTCCTTCCTTATTCCCTAAAGGATTGCTAGCAGAAAATATGCTAAGCTTGGTTCACATAACTTCTTTTATGAGTCTCAAGTCAGACTTGTCTTTAAAAAACCCAAGAAACATACAAAAATATCTATCAGCAGTCCAAAATTTAGCAGTAACCCTGTAAGAGTAAAGCATGCAATGAAACCCCAAACCTAGTGCAGACAGTTCTGACAAAACAGCGAGGATTCTCAGGATCAGGTAAGACGAAGACTGAGGTGCATTAAAGAAACACTTTGAAAGCCAACAAATCAGCCAGGTGACGCTGCAATTCTGCATTAAAGGGCATTGAAAAATCTGTGAGAAGCTTCATTTCAGAACAAGATATGACAGGTTTTGACTTAGAGGCAAGCAGAGAATGCACGAACTACTGGTAGAAAGTTTCTTCTGCATCCCTGGGAACAGGAGGTCACTTCAAAGGTAGTTTCTCTAAATTTGCAGTAACATTTATACTGTGACTAAAGTCACTGAGCTTTTTCTAATTGTGATAAGGAAACACAGACACGCCTTTCTGAGTTGATTTAAACTGCAGCAATCGGTATAATTCATTAACTTATAGATTTTGGCCCCTACTCAGAAGTTGTTTCTCAGGTAAGAACTCTACTGAGACACTGAGAAGGAAGAAGGGAATGTCTTGCTCCAAATGACCATAAAAATCATATTCACAGCTTGTTTCATTTTAAAAGTATCCAGTGTCCCTGGTTTTTGCTTTTGTATTTACATATGTCAGTAACAGGGGTAAGAAAGTTACAGCCTATCAGTGTCTTACTAATGATATCTTACTCCTTTTTATCAACTAAATCAAGAACTGTTACTATCATAAAAAGAAGAACTTTCATGAAAAATCTAGTGGAAAACTACATCATGTTCTCTGGCTAAAATCCAAAGGATTTCAACAAGAGGTTTAGTTCATGGGAAAAATACAAGCTTTTGATTTCACTCAGAATACCAAAAGTTTTCCCTCCTATACAGCATACATACTTCACTGCAAGTCGGAGATGTAAAAGCTGTTGTTTTGAATTACGTGCCTATTCACAGTGAATTGTTTAAGAAACAGTCCGTGTCTGTTGAAAATTTTCACAACTATTCATGCACCACTTTCACGAAACACTATCAAAGTCGCAAAGATGAGCTCTTAAATTTTAGGAAGCGTGAAAACCGTGGTTGTGATAACCAGGCCACTGCTACGAGGCTGTGGTATGCGATTCAGCAATCGGAAAGTGTATCACACCACAAATACACACTGGGCTGGGCCAGCAACCTTGACTCTGGCATTTCTTGACTTCGGAGCGTTTGACTTGGACTTTAAAGAAGTAGAACCTCCATAATCCAGCTATATTCACCTCTGTAGGGGCTGCAGAGCTGGAAGTTTCACACCCAACTCCCAGGGGAGCTAACGCAGCAGCAGAGAGCAGGAACAGGTTGTCAGTCATTGTGCAGACCAGCATAAAGCAAGAAAAGAGACCCAGAATTCTCCAGTGGGTTTTGCAGAGGTGTGCTGATAGCAGGAGAAAATTGCATCGAGGGGGGGAAAAAAAAAAAAAAGGCAATACATACTTACCTGCGTGGTAACCGAAGTTCTTTCGGATGTGCCAACAACAGGCACATCCTGCTACCTGTGTGCTCACCCCACTCCCCCAGGTTCTGGGTCCTTTGGCCAGCAGCATCCTGATGGTGCACTCAAATGTCCTCTGCCTAATGTTAAGAGCAAAAAACGCAGAACACTCAAACGCCAGCCATCTACCACAGGACACCGGGAAGAAGGGAGTCCAAGGTAGAGATGACGTATGGCAGACTGTGGAATACGCATATATCTTATCAAAGGATGCCAATTATTTGCATAGGTAAATAATTGCCTTACCACCTCCTAACGATTGTCGATGTGCATATTTTTCTAATGCTGGAGGCAAGGACTCGGTCTTAAGAATATAAAACGGCACTTGGAAAACACAACATCAAATCTGGAGGCTTCAGTTATCACACCCTCTCCTGATAATAATAGATCCCTAAAGAAAGTGCTTTATATTTCAAGTAGAAACATTTTGACAGCTGAGGTTACCTCAACTCTAAGACTAGCCTGAGAATATAGGTCCTATAATAAAGGTCTATACTCTAACAAGTTCTCTTGAAACCGGTCATCTTGATATTCTCAGACATGAGTTGGTTTTACTTTACGTGCTCTCAGCAGCAGGCATTACGAACGAAAAGTGAAATCTGAAATAATCTTGCTTCCCTCAAGATTCAAAATCCACAAAGACACCTCCACACTGGAAGCATAACTTCACATTCAGATATCTTCAGCGCAGATAGCTACAAGCAAACCAGCTCATTTCCACATGCCACAGTTTACCTTGGCCTCAGGTAGACACCGAATGCTGGTCAACAGAGCAATGCCCAGAAACCATCCACCGACTCTACACAACACGTAGTATTTTTAAAGGAGCTCTTTTATTCTCCTCTTTGACAAGCGCTCAGGACCAGGGAATAACATAATTGTCTTCCAGCCGACACAAGAGGAAGCCAAGCTATGGCCTGAACGGGATTACATCTTCTCATGGTGTGACATAGAGGAAAACGAGATTTCTTTAGCTGATGGATCAACAGATTTGGAGCATCTAGGAACTCACAGCATCATAGCCAGGTCAAGGCTAGGCATTCAGCTGAGCTCAGCCTGCTTTTGTGAAGTGCTCAACTGGACTGATAAGAAAGATCTATGAGAACTACTCCTAGCAGAATTGGAAAGATTTCAGACAGGTTATCTTGTTTTCCACTTCGCCTTTAAGGTAAGTTGGGACAGTTCCTGTTACGCTACCATGTACCAATCTACCAGTAATACCTTTGCTCTGAAAAGATGAATCAGATGATGGAGTCCTTGGTCCTCCATTTGCAAGTGGAAAAGTATCTGCTCAATTTGCCTCTTGATGGCAGATGAGGACAACAGATAGAAGAGTATGCCAGCTGATGTCCTTTGAAGGAGGAGGTAGTTGCTGGGGTTGTGTTCCGCCCTAATTTAGAGAAGATGGCTTTCCATTGACACGTTCTGTGAGTTCCTCTGACTAGCACACCATTCACATGTCTTCTGCTTCCTAAGCAAGAGGCATCTGTATTCTTTGCCTACATTTTGGGAAGATGCATTGTAGGACACATGCAGTTGATGTTTGATTTAGATGATGACGATGGTAGTCAGCCCCGTGCACACTCAGAGCACAATCTGGCATGTGTCTGTTGCAATGTCCATAAATCCAGTGGGACCAAGGCAAATTTTTCATGGAGTTTTAACTCTGAAGCCAGTGGAGCCCAACACTGTTCCAGCAAACACAGCCTTCTGGACAGGAATTAAGTTGCAGTTTTGCAATATGATTTTCAAGCCTAAGATACAAAACGGCATAGAGAGATTATAAAAAAAAACGCCGTAGAACACTGATGAGATCTTCACGTTAGCTAATTAGTTGAGGTAAAAGTACCACTTCTTGAGATACATTGCGGTGATTGCTGGCATTTTAACAACGGGGCTGATAAACCAAAGGGCAGATTGGGCCTTGGTAATGGCTGTGGAGTGCAGCCACGATGAATCTTGCACACAAAGGGAAAAAATGGGGATTTAGTGGCTCGTGACACAGAACACATACCAAAGCCAAAAGGCAGTGTGAACCGTGTGGCAGCTGAGAATCAGGACACTCAAGATCTATATGCACCATCCAGATGATGTTAGTCAAGAGGCTCAGCACTTCAAGGCAACATAAATACAGGCCACCACGTGCACAACTGGTCGCTCACAGGAGAATTGCTGGTCCATGCTAGGCCCTGGATGAATGCAATCAGACAGCTCTGGTCCTGTTTGACCCTTCCAGCCTCATCTACCTTGCCCCTATCCCAGCCATGACTTGCTTTCCCAGCTCCATAGCCTATTCTCCTTTCCTCAGCAATCCACACTTGAGACTTCTATCTACCTCAGTTGCCCTTCCCGGATGGTCTCTGTCTCTTCTGTCCACTCTTCTCAGTTGTAGCAACACTCAGGCTCCATCTTCTTTTCTAGGTTCTTCAGCAGCACCCCCTCCATCCAATCCTTGGCCTATGCCCTATTTTTCCAACTTACTCTCCAGATTCCTGGCAAGATTTTTGGACACCCCTTGCCATTTACTTCCCCACTGGTCCTCAGTTCAGCTCTCCCCACTAGCCAGATCCATCCCCAGCTCTGTTTCTAACGTCAATATTCTTCTCCCATAACCATCAGCTCCCCAAAATATTATGATATGTTCCCAGTCTCCTTCTCTGACCAATGTGGAATCTATTCCCAGTCTCCCAGCCTGCATATCCACTTAATTCCAGCCTGCCCTTTCACCTCACGGCCAGTAAGTAGGATTAGCCTCTCCTTCAACTCCTATTCATGTACTCCCTTGGCTCCACTCCCAGACCTCTTGCCACCCCTCTTTGTGCAGCTTTTGTAGGTTCTGCCTTCACATCAGAGAGCTTCCTCCCCTGTGCTGCCCGGTACCGCTGAGACCACAGAAAGCCCACTCTGTGCTCTCAGTGCTGTGACCAGGAGCAGCCGGGGACAGCAGTGAGGGGGAAAGCCCTTCTCACCACCTGTAGCCAAGGGCTGAAGCATGCTCAGCCACTGCACGGAGTGGCCCACGTGCAGTTTTGTCACACGTCAGAGCTGAGAGGTCAAGACATGCTCCATCGCTCCGGGGGAACGATGCACAGGCAGTCTGGGCAGCATTGGGAGCTGACAGAGGCTGCAGCATGCTCAGTGAGGAACAAGTCTTCAGAGATATTGAGCTATTAAAATCAAAGAATTTTCTGCTGAGCATGAGCAACCTGTGTTTTTTTCAAAGTTACAGCTTGGCCAAAGAGAGCGGACTTCTCTGAGACGGCAGAAACCACCCTTCTCCTTTCATAAAGCATCGAGTCTCTGCTCAAACACAGACAAGTACCCAGGTGTTTAGAGAAGTTCTCGTGAAAGTTTTAACTTAACAAAAAAACATAGTTCAACTTACTTCTGTGAAACAGTTTAAGAACCAGACTCCCTCACTCCCGCTCTCCCAGATTTAGCCTGAAGCAGTTCCCCTGTTTGCAGGTTTTCAGCCTGAGTAGCCACCATTTCATAGCTGCAAGTCCATGAAAGAAAACTGGAATTTGTAATAGGAAGCATCGGATAGCGTTAAGAAACGTTACCAGTTTGATATATAATATCCTGTTTGGCAAAGGCCTTGGAAAACCACACTTTGTTTCTAAAGGCTTCCCAAAACCAAAGACTGTTCACACACGCATATTAGGAATAACTAGATCAGCAGAGTTAGACGTTGCAACACTGTTTTTTAACTGAACTATCCACCTCTGTAATCTTTTCAAACGAAACTCTGGATAGAGCACAGAAACTTTGGTTTGGAAAGACCACTATCCACAGCAATAAGTGTTTGCTCAGAAATATTACTCCATTCTCATTATTCAGTTATAAAAGTTAGTGCAATTTCCAAACCCCGTGTAATATGGCTTTCATCTTGCAATATCCAGGCATTCAGAAGGCTGTAGATGACTCCTAAGTGATTCACAATCGATGATATCAAGTAAAGCAAGCACACCTTGCTACAGAGAAATACATATTTATGACATTCCTGAAGAGGCCCGGACCTCCTCTAGAAAACATACAGGAGCCTACCAACAAAACCAAGGTTGAAAATCACTGTGGTAGAGCAGGGAAGCTACGAAAGCTACAAATACTCTGTCTCCACCTTTGCCCCTGACTCCCTGCAGCCTCTGAAGCATCCCTGCTGAGTAGCACTCCATGCTGCAGGCAGCTAAACAGCTCTGCAAGTCACAGACCTCCTCGGTACAACACACCTGCACCAGCTCCGCTGCGAGAGAGATCTCTGCAGTTACAAGACTTCACTTTTAACGTCTGAAACGGGATTGTGCAAATATGAGTATGTTCTTAATGAAGCGAAAGATCTTCTCCAAAATCACAGAGTACTACTGATCGTTCTCTGTGGTGAAATGATGTTAATATAAACATGTTTGTTCTAACACAGTGAAAAAATTAAATAAAAATCAAACAAGTGGGAGAGATGCTCACCATCTTGGATTTTGATTCTGATTTTCAGTGATGTTTTCTTTTATTTTAAAACCAGCTCCTTTTCTGGCCTTATCTCTTGAAGGAGCTGGCACTGAACATAAATGCAAGCTTAAACATTTTGTTTACATTTCTTTCACATAAGCAATACTTTTTCACTCCAACTCCAGAAGTAATCTCAGAAAAAAATAATCAATTCTTATCCTGCGATTAATCAGCACAAATGTGAGAGTTTCTGCAACATGCTAGTAGGCATCATCAGATATGTAATTTATTAATAGTGAAATTACCACTATTTCAGATTTTATTCACACTTTTGAGAGGAAATAGTGCTTTTGTTGAACAGGCTTTCATGTGTAAAAAAGACAGCAATGTTTGCATAAAGACTGGCATGCTATTATACAGATAACCAGGCTCCAGGCAAGCTTCTTCCATGCCCCATTGGCAATAATCATGCTCCTGAAACACAACTCACTCAGCTAATTCCATCCAGGCTTGTGACTCCTCACAGATTCTCTAATGCACCTCAGTCTCGATCTGTAGCACCTAAGTAACCTGAACCAGAATCCTTTCTCCACCGGGCGTCGTAACAATTTGCTAAGGTGCTATTTTCCACAATTACATAAGAAACTGAGCACATATGATCGTAGGACAGTCTGAAATACTGCGATAAATTGCAGTATATTGTATCACCGTGTGACACCTTCCTCTGAGGTCAATTTCAGAAAGGAAGGGAAAAGAAAACTCAGGGTGTGTGGGAAGATTTAAACACTGACACATTTTCATTACACTCTTAGGCAAGCCAAGAAGATTTTTAAAACTCAAATGAACAACCTCCACATTTCACAACACTTTGACACTGTTCTGCAAGGAGAAACGCAGCCAGCAAAACAGTTTGTTCACTTAAAAAGCAAAATACATGCAGAAGGTGGGTGTCCTTTTTTTTCCTCCTGTTAGTCACATCCAGGTGTATCAAAAGCCTGATTCGTATTAGTTTTCTCTTGGACAGAAACTACCTAGATGTGACTCCTCACTCTGCAAAGCAATAAAAAATAATCCTTTCAACTAGTGACCAACCATGGTGCCTCTAAAGGAGAAAAATTTCCATCCTCAGCCTCTTCAAGAAGCAAATTAATCTCCTTAGTGTTTTAAGCAAATTTCAACAAATCCTGCACTTGCAGAGCCCGATTTTCAGAGGTGCTGAACACCTTCATATCGCATCCCACGGGTATCCCTGGCTTCTGTGTGTGATCAGCACTTGCAGGATCAGGTTCTCAGTTTACCTGCTAGGTACTCTATGACGGCTGCCATGTAAACTGGTGCTCCCACACCTATCCGGTACTTGTATGTTCCTTTCTTCAAGTAGCGCATCATCCTCCCCACAGGGAAAATAACACCCGCCCTGCTTGAGCGTGACAGCTTGGACATTTTCTTCTTCCCACTTCGGCCCGACATCTTGCAGCTTTGTGCTTTTCAATTTGCTGGTGATTCTTAACCTCTTGCTCCAACTCGAACGCTGCAAGAGAAAAGAAATGGGATTGGTGTTCAGCACGTGAGAAACATCTTTATCTCAATACTTGTTAAAGCTGAGGCATTATTCATTAAAAGTTGGATAACTGGAACATTTCCTATAGCTTTTCTTTTGACTACTGCACTGTCAGTGTAGTAATATCACAAAAAAAAAAAAGTGGTTTGGAGAATACAAAAAAAAAAAATCATATGTACAATAAATTAATCTTTTTTAAAAAAAACAACCAACGCCACACAAATCACACCAAGGCAGACAACTCCAGCATGGAAGACTTCCATGCTGATTGTTAAGTTTAGCAAGTTATAAACAGCTGAGAAGAATTGGCACAATTTAACAAGCTGAAAAGCAGATACTGGTGCTACCCATAAGAAAAGGAAGTCTTACTGCTCAGACAGAAGGAAAAATCCTGCCTACAAACACACTGCTTCTTCACAGGTCTTTTATACAGGGAATTTCACATGCATGGCTGAAGAAGAGAAGCAGGCAAGCAGCTGGGCTTCAGGCACCTCCCCTGACGCTGCTCCAGCCTCAGGAACTGAGCCCCGGGGGCAGCTCCCAGGCTTCATCACTTTCATCATTCTCTCAGAATCACCTTCTCAGCAGCTCCTGGGAGCCCCAGAAGCCTTCCTCCGTGGAGCTAAGGGGAGGTCTTTCATCTCTCATCTTAAAAGGACTGGCTATCATTTTATTCTGCCCATCAAGCTCCCTGAAGATGTGGTTTGACCCTGCATTAAGAGCCAATCTAGTCTATACATAGGAGCGAAGAAAGCAAATCTCATTTTCTCCTCGTTTTTCTGGCAGCAGTGAGACTGCAGGTAAACAGACAACAAACCCTGAAGTCGGCCACTCCACTCCGAAGCGAGAACGTGGTCATAATTACATCCCTAGTTCTCACTCTCAATCATATAATGGGGAAGCTTTAACTTTGTTTCCAAAAATTGTATTTAACTCCATTTTGATAGCTGCCCTAGTGGCCTAATGATGATCCTGGTTACAACATAATAGACCAAGACTCACTCCTCCCAAGTAAAGGAAAAGCACGTCTGCCACAGATGTTATTTCTGGCAAGGAAGGCACAACTACTTAATTCCTAATATTCACGCACCTCAATGAAACAAGGAAACAAAAGGAGGGAGATAATTTGAAAAACATTATGATGACTTTCGGTGATACTGTTAAATTTTACCACAACCTGCATTTTAAATAGCTTTCAAAAAAAAAAAAAAGGTGTTTGATACCACTGCAAGCCCTTGGAAACAACCAACATTCATCTGAGGAGGGCAGAGAAATCTGTGTTCCTTTTTTATTCTCTTTATTAGAAATGAAGTGAATTTACAAAGAGGGTCACCCGTCCCATACGAAACCAGACATTCACAGAAACCAGCTCATCTGTAGCAGCCAAGTTCAAGGGTGGGTTTCTACAATAACTGAACTTGAACGCTGGTTTCATTATGATATCAAGGAAATAAAATCACCACAAGGTCTGCAGAGATCTATAAAACCCTGGCATGTCCTTGTCTATCAGCCAGATAATTTTTTCTTTCTGCGTGCAATATATTATGTGAGCATGATAACAAAAGTTGGGAAAGATTAAACCAGTAAGCCTATCAGATGCAGACACCTCAAAATTGATGTTGCTCATCATCCCACTCCGAGTTCTCTGAGAACTGCCAGCCTGGAATCACGAGTGGTGGTAAAAGAGCTCATAAACTGCTGCCTGCAAGTGCGGATTAAAGGCAACAGCCACTTCAAACAGATGGAAGTGGAAAAAATTCCCAAGGAACGCACTAATTGCATTGATGCAGGAATAACCAGTTGTGTAGGACAGGGAAGCACCTCCAGGGAGTAGGACCAGCAGGTTACAGTGAGAGGAAAAGAGCTGTTGTGGAAAGGCAAACCTCGTGCTGGAGTGTTTAAGCAAGAGGACAGCCGGCGCCGAGAATCCAGAGGAGGGTGATGAGAACGATCCAGAATCTTTAGGCAGAAAGGAGTGGGGAGACACGAGAATGGTTTTTAGAGACGTAAGAGACTGCCTTGAGGGCAGAGGGAGAACGTGTTCCCTACAAAAGTGGCAGGAAAAGAGTAGGACTCTTACAAAAGCTGTGTAGCAGGGAGGAGAGCAGAGCACCGGGCTCGGTCAGCCGGAGAAGTGGCAGAACCTTCCTAACAGGACAACCTTAGAACGGCACAGGCAGTGATGGATCTGCCTTGGGATGGGATGCTGGACGGAGATGATCTCTCGAGGTCCCTTCCTCCAGCCCTCTTGCTCAAAGAAATTTGCAATTTGTGACAAACTCTTTTATAAACATTCAATTTTATATTACGCTACCGATTAACCTTTATAAAACGTCCTTTTCAGTTCGTGATAACTGACATTCAAATTGATGAATAAACGTAGGCTGGGAATTAGGTTTCTAGCCATCCAAGGAGTGAAATTCTGGAACAGCCTTCTCTTATGAGTAAGATGAGCAACAGTAACTCATTTTAAGGTGGAACTTAATAAATGCAGGCGCTAGGCTACAATCCGATTCCTGCAACACCGGCAAGACAGTTTCATCACCTGAGAGTTCACATCCGTGCCGAAATCCCTACAGAGAGCCACGCTGAAAGAGCACACTACAAACAGTCATGTATCAAAATCATATTCAGCTAACCTCTCGTATATTTGCTCCTATAGTACCAAATCCCAGCTGCCTGTAAATTAATGGGGGGAAAAAAAAAAAGAAAAAAGGCAAACATCATGAGATCACACCCACAGAAAATACCGTGGTTGCACTTGATCTCTGTGATAGAAAAATCAAAACATATTTGTATAACTAAGCACACTGCTCTGGGGCACACTGCTGCATTATATAAATTTATGTTTAATTAATCACTTCTGGCTTGTTCTTCTGTTGCCTCACTGAACTTTCCACCGTCTCTACCTCTTTATTTTCCACCTTCTCTCTCACAGCAAGTCTCAGCCCTTTTTTCCCCTGCTGCCAAGGCAACCTTCAGAATCCCAAAATATTTTTCCAACTACACTGCAGGTAACAGACCAGGTATGTTTGTGGAATTTTGTGAGAGCCTAAATACAAAAGAGGTTTCAACACTCTGTTAACACACTCTCTCTCTCTCTTTCTCCATCTCTTTTCTTTGCAACTTGCATGAACCAGGGTATACTGAGGAGTGACATATACAACAGTAGGTTTTTGTCTTGTCTCCTAGGGGAGGTGATTTTGGGCAGGAAAAGCAAGCTATGGCAGCATCAGATCTACCAGAAAACAATTCCTGTGGACCTGGACAAAGAAATGTGGTACGTTGGCGTTGCCAACTATCTATGCCAGGCATCTCGGAGAGCAGACACTAAGGGAATGGTTCACAGGCTCAGGTGACTGCCAGTCCTTGGGATCTCGAAGCTCTCCTGCACAAAAGAGCTATGCCTGGTCTGCAGCGAGGCGTCCCCAGGGCTTTGTGTCCTGCTGGCTCATTCCTCCCACAGGCAGGGGTTTGGTTCACCTTGGAGGATGCACAGCAGCTCAGCCCTGACACAGTTACATGACGCATTCACCTGAACTGCTCCAAAGCTCCCAAGAGCTGAAGAGCTACAAGCTGAGCACTGCTGCCCTAATTGTTCTCTTCAGGTGATACAGCTAAGTGTCAAGGGCTTAGCAGTTGGAAAGGACTCGAGCCTACCCACAGTAATTCCCTCACTGCCAGCTGATTCATCATCTCTACGTTTGCCCTTATAAACTACCGCCTCCACTAAAAGATACAGCCATGTCATTTATGTGAGGTCCATCCTTGCTGAGTTAGAGGAGCTGCATCTATATCTGGCTACCACGACACTGTGAGGCTGGGGCAATTTAAAGCAATTAATGTTCCCAACCCCTTAATTGATCAAGGCACACTCCT